GAGTCGTGCATTTTCCTGCAGCCTGTCGTAGTCGATGTAGCCAGTCTCTGGATGGACCTGGACAGAGAAGCAGCAGACCACATCATAACCAGGAGAATAACCTCCTCCTAAACATCAGCAAGACTAAGGAGCTGATCGTGGACTTCACTACAAAGCAGGCGAGGAATTACAAACCCCTCATCATCAGTGGCACGCCAGTGGAGAGAGTGGACAGTTTCCGATACCTGGGTGTCCACATCACTCAGGACCTGTCATGGTCCTGTCACATCAACACCCTGGTTAAGAAAGCCCGTCAGAGTCTCTTCTTCCTCAGAAGACTTAGAGACTTCCATCTGCCACTGAAGGTGCTCAAGAACTTCTACTCCTGCACCATCGAGAGCGTCCTGACGTCAAACATCTGCACCTGGTTTGGGAACAGCACCAAGCAGGACAGACGAGATCTGCAAAGGGTGGTGCGCACGGCCGAACGCATCATTCAATCAGAGCTCCCTGACCTGCTGTCCATCTACACCAAGCGGTGCAAGTCCAAAGCTAGGAAGATTATGATGGACCTCTCCCATCGCAACAATGGACTCTTCTCACTGTTGAGGTCTGGGAAGCGCTTCCGCTCCCTTAAGGCCAAAACAGAGAGAATGAGGAGGAGCTTCTTCCCCCAGGCTATTCGGGGCCTGAACCAGGTGTAGGACTGGACTCTCCCACACACGTCACTATAAGACTGGACTCTCACACACGTCACCACACGCACCACCACACATTTCCTATAATCCTATAATCCTTATAATCTTTATAATCTCTTCTGCTATTTGCACATTCTTTACTGTAAATTCCTAAGTTAATTTGTAAATTCTGTAGGAAACTGTAAATTGTAAATATTGTAAAACTTTCTTCTGTCATTTAATGGTCGGGCATTGTACAGCTACAAGCATTTCACCCCCATGTCATACTGTGTATGGTTGTGTGTGACAAATAAAATTTGAATTTGAAACCAAAATATAACACCTGCTATACACAAGATGAGGACAACACCACATAGTTGGACTTTGGATAAAACTTGAACCAAAGTGAAATCAGTTGTTTTGATTTTGCCCACATTTACAAACATAGACAGCCACAGCAGATACTGGTCAATTTTAATGAATCTGACGATATTTTTTTTCAGCATGAATGGCATCACAACCCGTGGGAGATTCAGTCAAACTTCACAGATGTGTAGTTCATTGAGTCTGAAGTACTCACTGGTGTTACAGATGGTGTGCTCCCACCACGAGGTGATTTCTAGTGCTCACTTTTGTTTCCAAAAATCTTATCTTTGACCTTATACACCACCTTAAACAGCAATATCTAGTCAGCGGATCTTATGACTTTAATTGAATGAATTTAAGTATGTAGACATGATCAGCGCGACATGCTGAAGTTCATATTGAGCATTAGAATGGGGACAAAAAGATGTTTTAAGTGACTTTTAATGTGGTATGATTGTTGGTCTGAGTGTTTCAGAAACTGCTGAGTGAGTGGCAGTTCTCTGATGAAAAAGCTCTGTCACTGTCAGAGAAGAATGGCCAAACTGCTTTGAGCTGATAGGAAGGGAACAGTAACTCAAATAACCGCCTTGATTCTGTGATTTGTCCCAGCTGTCGTGAGGAAATACCAGAGCACATCGCATCTTTGAGAAATTTGTTCCCAACTCCGACAGAGCCTTTTGGTTCCCGACCATACGTGCACATACATACCTTGTATGGCATGGACTCAAAGAAGATTGAGGTTGCCGAGATTTTTTTCTTCTCAGTCATGAAGCCGTGTGTCAGGTGACCTCCATCTGGAAGATCCAGCCCCATGATCCTGCCGTGGGGCTCCACAACAGCCGTGTAGACGGCGAAGTTTGCAGGTGACCCTTACAGAGAAGCACAAACGGTATGACAGTAAGTGACAGGAGCACGGCAGATGTTGCATGCCAACGGGTGTAGTCAGACTCAGATTTAAATGCATCCATATTTGATACCCGAGTATGGCTGAACGTTGACACCCCATTTCTCCGAGTCCAGACTGTAGGCCTCCAGTGCTCTCTTCTGACAAAGTCTTTCTAGCTCATCGATATGCTCCGTACCACCGTAGTACCTGTACACATGAATCATGCTCACCATTACAAATAATGTTCATAATGTTAATGCCACACTAATGAGATTGAGCCAGTTGGGATTTTAACTAGATTGTACCTCTGGCCAGGATAGCCCTCGGAGTATTTGTTGTTCATACAGGAACCCAGCGCTTCAAGAACAGCTCTGCTGGCAAAGTTCTCAGATGCTATCAGCTCCAAACCGTACGTCTGCCTGTGCTTCTCTTTTTTAATAATGGAGAACACCTGAACACACACACACACACACACACACACACCTGTTAGGTGGGAACTCTCAAAGGCCCATTATTAGGTACACGTTTATTAGGTAATTTGATGTTTTACCTCCACTAAACACAAACCTCTGAGTCGTTGACTGCCAGCGGCTCCAGCAGCATCTTGTTGTGCGATTCCCATTCTTCTTTGCTTATATGATGGGCGTTAGATAAAGACATGATTGCTGTTTTTTTCTTGGTCTCACAAAGTGGAAATCTAAAAGATGACACTTTTACACAGACATAAAAACAAAAACAATATCAATTTGAAAGAAATGAACATCTGTGTGTGATGACACAGCATGCAGACAGCGCTGCTGACAAACTGGCCCTACAGATGCTCCATTATTGCAGCACAAAGCCTCAGACAAAGAGTGAATATGCAGCAGCACACCACCCCTGCTACAGTATTATAGTGATAAGGCTAAACTTTGAACCATAGCACTGCCCAAAAAGGTCACTGAACTACACAATAAGCCGCATCACTGGTTATTTTGTAACCCAGATAACAAGCTCACTGCTCCATGAAATCCACAGCTGCCAGATCTTTATCAGACTGTCTCTCCTCATGACAGTCATGCATCTATGCAGCGCATGCTTCTCATTACATCTCCTGACTGACCCAGAAAGACAGCAACAGCTGTTCAGTGCACACGCTGGCTAAACCTGAACTGAGAGGACCCCTGAACACATCATCAAGTTTAAAAAACACAAAACGTGAAAACTTCTACCTGCAGAGCTAATCTGCTTTAACGAAGGTTAAAGTGCAAAACACATTTACTTCTCCACATATTTTCTCCCTGCTCGCATTAACATTACCGTCCTCTGTGTGTGAAACTTTAACCAGCTCACCGTCTGTGGAGACTCCCGCGCTGTCAGCCGTACACTGAGCTGAAGTTCGAGCCCCTGAGCGCCAACAGTAATATCTGCTTCACAGCGGAGGGTAAAGTCCGCCAAACTTCCCACCAATCAGCGCATCGCTTCTTCTTCGTTTGCTTTTTATCCTGCGTGCTACATTCTTTACTGCCACCTTGTGCTACGGGCACAGACATGAAGACGACTGTGAGGAAAAATGGAGATCAGCTCACCGGACACATTATTAGGCACACTTATTAGCATGCTCATTAACTAAAAAAAATCTAATCAGCCAATCACATGACAGCTCATCTCCATCTCTAGATCAGGTTCAAAGTAACCATCAGCACGGAGAAGAAAGGTGATTTAAATGTCTATTCTGAGGATTTGCTGTGATATTCCCACACAAACATATGTAGTTTACAGAGAATGATCTGAAAAGGGGAAAATATCCAGTGAGCAGCAGTTCAGCTAACCCCCTTCCACCTAGGAATCTTACAGTGAACTGAAAGCAGGAGACATTGCATTGGAAAACTTTGCAAAGAATTTTATTTCTTGTAAATGTAGTCATTAATAATAGGAGGGGTTGTGGGTTGTTGTTGTTTTTTTACTTACCTCACATTGGCCATGTTTAGTAGCTGCTTTTCTGGATTTTTAATGTACAATTTTATATTCAGTTAAAACAAACATTACTTTTGTCCTTGTGCCTTACTCCTCAGTCCCTCACATAGACCGGTGTCTGTGGAAGAATCCCAGCAGATCAGCAGTTTCTGAAATATTCAGGCCAGCATGTTTGGCACCAACAATGATGCCACATTGAGTCACTTAAGTCACCTTTCTATCCCATTTTGATGTAATTCAAAATCAACAAATCAGTGCATTCCCAAAAGCACTGATTTGCTGCCAAGTGATTGGCTGATTAGATAGTTGAAGTTAATGAGCACCTAAAAAGATGTACCCAATGAAGTGGCCAGTGAGAGTATATCTATGCATACCATGATGAAGAACAGCTGTAAAATAGCACTTCTCATATCTAACTTTGGACTGTTGGTGCCACCACAAACACACGTCTAACAGAAATCACATTAATTGCATATGAAATCGTCCACAGTTAAGATCAAAGGATAGATAAATGTGATTAATAGCTTCAGTCATTTCAGTTCATTATAAATGTATAACTCCCAAAGAAATAAATTATATTTTCATTGATGCATCTTCTCATGTGTATTTAAACGCAATTCTGTATTTTTCTACAGTTTTGCATCTGTGGTTTGACTGAAGCTTGTAAAATGTTATTTGACTTTTGTGCGTCTTTATCAGTCTCTCACATCATTGTGGTGGAATTTGTGTGGGCCCACTTCTTAACTCGTGAATGACCTTTCTTACTGCAGCATGACAGACTTCAAATTGTTTAGAAATGACCTTATAATGCTCCCAGATTAATGTACAACAACAATTCCTCCTCTGAGATCAGTGCTGAGGTCTTTCCTATTTGTGTTAACATACACACAGCCCAGCAAACTGACAAAACCTCTGTTTTTATGGAGGTGGCCACACTGACTGATGATCAGTTTATCAAGTTCATTTGATTAGCAGAACTTGCCGCTACTTACTGTTTCTAACAGAATTAAGAGGGTAAGGGTGGACTTAGTTTTTCATGTGAGTCAAATTTAGGTTGATAGGATGAATGGTTTCTTTATCTGAGACTATTTGTGTGCAAGTTAATTTATTGTAATAAACATAATTTGATAGCAACAAAGTGTTGGAGTAAAACTTTAATTTATAATGCATGCACTGAACCCATCGTGCCATGAGCTTTTTCATGTCATAGAATGAGTGTGGCATCTGGGACACCGGTCAAATCTTGATTTAAATGCTCCTAATTATTGGGTTGCAGGTAATGCTTCCATGCATTATACCAATGACTACCACAAAGCCATATTTTACTCATTTTAATTTATCAGTTACATTAACTGATAACTATTTGGTTTTTTAAATCTACCTAACGAATGCTGTCTAAACCTGCAGTGAATCGGCAGACTCCATAAAGTAAATATCAGCTGACTTCCATATCAGCGGACCCAGATGTGGACTCTTGCACCTGAAGTTACAAAAGTCTCCTCTACACCAGGACATTCCGGTAAAGAAGCAAATAAATGAACAGACACATTTCACTGGTTCATCTTATTAATCTGAAATATTTTCATGAGTCAGTTATATACAATGTAAGTCCCCCCCCCCCAAAAAAAAAACCCAAACAAAAAAAGAGTGGCAAAGCTCAGTTAGGAAAGTTGAAATTGTACAATGATGAGTTTACCATGTTCAATATCGAGGGGTTCATCCCAATGTACGTGAATTTGATTTCAATTGTAGCTTTACTTCCTGGAAGGAACGAGGCCGTTATTCCCACGCCAAAATATACATAACCCCTCTTCACTGGTGTCTCCTCCGACGGTCACACGTTACAGTAAATATCAAATACTCTTCATAGATCTTCCTTTAAAAATAGTCAAAGATATATTGCCTCAGTCCATGCGCAAGTGAAAACGCTTCGGATACTGTGCATCATTTGAGAGATAGGGAGTTTATTCCTCTAGCTGCTGCTGCCGCCACCGCCGCCGCTTCTTTTGCTGCAAAGAGAAAATTCAAGATGAAAACAGCCAGTTGTTGTAGTGGACCTAGGCTTGATTAACTACTAATCCACGACTACTGCAAATGCTGGGATTGTGTCAATACATTTCTGGAATCAGACTAGACATCATTACATGCTTAATAGACCATCTCAGAGCAGGAAATTAGTCACATGAATCACAATTTTTTTCGAGTGGACTAAGCAGGATTAAGTACTTTGTCAGCTTTCTTAATTTAATTCTGAACTTCAGTGTGCATGACTCAAGTCACAGCCTGACCTGACTATCAGAGATGTATCTACACATGGCAACAACTGGGTATTATTGTCAAAGGTCTGTTTGACAGCAATAAGTGAGTATATTGTTAGCACAAGGATGCGACAAAATGTAATAAGCTTCAACTGTGTTTTGTGTTCTGCCAGTGTAAACAAGTGCTGGTTTTTTTTGTTGTTTTTTTTACTCAGAGGAGACTTCTTTCACACAGAAATACATGCACTCACTGTACAGGACAAGAGAGATTTATCAACACTAACAAGTTTATTAAAGTACACCTAATATGCTCTTTCTGACTTTTGTATCAACTGTGGACACTCATGTTATCAAGGTCAACGGTACAAAAAAAAAAGTTCAGGCTTCAAACTGCTCCAAACACTCAGTGTCAGACAGGTGTTTTTTTTCTACTGCAGAGATCCTGAACATAGTCATTTCAGGAAGATGGCTCTGGCGTGAACACAGAAGCCTCGCCCACCTGATGTTTCAAGCCTGCTGGTTGGGCGGGACAGCCAATCAAGAGAAAGGTTTGTCTTAAAGGAGGAGACAATAAAACAGCCTATTGCAGACAAAGGACATACCAAAATGCTCAACCAAAGACTAGTATGAGAAATATGGATTATTTTTGAAATGGGAATCATTCAAAGCTATTCTAAAGGAGTGGAACTGAAAACAAGCGTAACAGATCAATGCCGGGAGATACAAGTATGGCAAACATCAGTTACAATACTGCCATAACTGTGACAATCTGGCTTTGTAACACCAATAATAACACTTTGACCATTGCTGCAACTCCTCAGGAAAAGTGCAGAGTAATCGTGCTTGCCCTCCACTTGGTATAAGACACAAGAAAAACAAATATGAGCTAATGGGAAAGAAGTGGGACATCTAGCACTTGCAAAATAAGGCAGGGGCACTAATTCAGGTTTTGTACGGTGTAACAGGACAGTGATTTGTCCCTCAACTAAGTCTTATCACCACTTTAAACTGTAAGACATATATTGTTATGTTGTATGACTGCCATTGAGTATTGCATTAGAAAAACAAGGTTTTAGGTAAATTATTTTAATTGATTTAGTAAACATAAAAAACACTTTATTGTAAGAGCCTCTCCTTGCTGAAAGTCAGTGAGGAAAGTAACTTATTTATTACTAACTGAAAACTGGAGATAAGATGAGTAAAAACATCATAAAACAAGTTCGGAGGTAACAGAAAGTGGACTGGTACTCCTATAGCACCTTTCCATTTTTAAACAGCCGTCTACAATCACACACAATAAATTAGTGCTTTTATCTAACCCTAAGCACCTTTTAATATGTAATATTGTAAACTAAACCTGTTACAATAATAAATATATAATACATACTGTATACTATTAAAAAATAGTATGTATTTTCACTCCTCCAGCTGCCCTTAAGATATCATCGAAAAGAATGCTGAACACTAAAAAAAGTAATAGGGTGTAAGGTGTGCCAATAACAGTGCAGTTTTTCTGAAAATAAATGTAAAGAATTCACTTTCATTGCCAGTTTTCCTCACAGGAAACTCAACATTTACCACCTGGTGTTTAATTCAGTCTGTGCTGTTAAATAACCACTTATGAAATGCCTGCACAGCTGAGGTACTTACCTTTTTTCTCCTCTTCTTTCTTTCTTGCCGCATCCTCTCTCTGTTTTCTAATGATGGCGAGGCGAGCGAGGTCAGCTTTGGCCTGGTCTGTCTTGCCGGCCAAGTGCATCTTCATGTAACGCTCCTTGGCCTTCTGCTTCTCGATCTCTTCTCTGTGCAGAAGAACATGTTTCAAGGTTAGAGGAATGACAGGAGTTCAGTTTTCCTGTAATGTTCTACACACAAAAAGCCTTTATGACACATAGTCACCTCAGATTAGATTTGTGTGTACCAAGCAGCTTTTTCTCAAACTGTTAACAATTTGCGCTTCAGGTTCATAATCCACAATAGTCCAAATCTCATAAGCTCATTGAAAAGGTTTCATTTAATACTATACTTTCAAGTAAAGTCCCCTATTGGTACTAATACAAGGTGACAGGCTGATGACACACACCTCTCTCTCCTTGACAATTGCCGGGGCTCTTCCAGCTCAATCTGCGTCACCTTCTTGGACTTCTGAGCCACTCTGTTGGGGTTCTCAATTTCTATCAATCCCTCGACACCGGCTCTCCTCCTCTGCAGACAAACACCAACATCTCATACAGTGCAAGCCAAACACTAACCACATATTGAGATCATAAGAAGTGCTTTAAGTGTGCACATTAAATAACACATTGGCCTTTATGTACATGATGGAAAAGCTGTGGCAGTACCTGGGAATCTTCATCATCGCTGTCCTCTGATCCAGAACCTGGTAGCTTCTCCTCTGCTGTGTCATTCTGAGCTGCACCTTCCTGCTCCTGCTCTTCTTGCTCTTGCTACAATACATAAATGACTGTTATTTTTTACATAATACATAATAAAGATGTTTAACTAATCATCTAATCGCTGAGATACTTTAAGAAAAAGAAGTGCAATTTCAACAATACATCTCAATTTCTCTACATGATATATTTTTGTAAAATGGCATAACCCCCTCCCTTTTTTTGGTAGCTCATTAAATAAAAAGGTTCTATAGCAGATGGTGAAAACTGTAACTTTTCAGTCATTTACTTGTTTAGCTGTTACTTAATCACTTTGGTTCAGTATGAGTAGTTATGGGGGGGGGGGGGGGACTGGCTTTTCTTTTTCAATAAGAAAACCTATGAAAAAAGTGGGTCGGACTGGATTCTTTGCTGGACCGATTCTAGCCCCCTTGCCTTATGTTCGACATCTCTGACGTAACAAGGATAACTTTCAATCAGGAGTGTCTAACAAAAATGTATCCGGCTATGTTTTATTCTTTTCAGCTGTTTTCGCGTTGCATTGTGGGAAGTGTAGTCTCCAGCCGGTCTACTTGTGTGGGACATGACTGAGTGTACACTCCACCAACCTTTCTCCTCTCCTTTTCTGCCTTCATCTGGGCATCTATCTCTTCGGGGCTGGTGTACGTCCGCATCCGACCCTTGTGGCCACCTTTCTTACCTGGAAGGACGACGAAAAACACAGATGTGATCGCATTTTGTACAGAGCACGAAAGAAAGAGCGGACAGACAGGCATCAGATGAATCTGAGCAGTTTATAGACATGCTGGCACAGGCCTGCTTAATGCTGAAACATCATTCAGAGCGTAGTTATGCGAGTTAGAATGCCGCCCCAGCGGTACATGTCCATCGGGTGGCTAACAGCGGACAAACAAACATACAAAAATGATTTCAGTCCATTCAAACAACTTTTAGAGTCACTCTCACCTCCTTTTGGCATTTTAACAAACGAAGTCTTTACTATAAAGTCCCTAACCAGTGAACACTGACAGAAAACATAAATGTGACGGCAGCGACACAAACTGACAGCTGGCTAAACTCACAGTTGCAATAAGGAGCAGTATATTTTGCGTTGTCCAAGGATATGCCGGTTCATAAATAGTGAACACACGGGGTTTTTTTGGTAAGCCCGTATGCCGCTGTGAACCACACATAAAATATTCCAAGAAACGTGTTAGTTATTTTTCCAAATAACATTGGCTATCGTAGTGTAGAAATCTAAATAATGCCCTTAAATGTAAGGCAATTTGTAAGACTGCTAAAGTGATGCAATAGACCAGGCCCGACAGTAAAACATACTTAACCGTACGAAATAAGTATTTTAGGGGAACTTGCATAGTTTATTAGGCTGAGACAAGTTTTAAGAAGTTACTTAACGCCTTTATAAAGAGGTTATCTTAAGTTTCGCGCAATGACGTCGTTCGAGAGACGGAAGGCCTTTTAATCACCCCCCGCATGTGACGTCATATATACGCGCCTGAGAGGGGCTCGTAAGACAAACAGGAAAATACTTACAGCGTTTTGTTGCATTTTTAGCTAAACAGAGACAAAATGCCAAAAGTAAAGAGGAGTCGAAAGCCTCCCCCAGACGGCTGGGAGCTCATTGAGCCCACTTTGGACGAGCTGGATCAGAAAATGAGAGAAGGTAGGCCGGGGAAGTTTCTCGGGGTGATCGGCCGTGGGGCTGTATGCGCAAAGTGAGTCCTGTGTATGACACTGTGAAGCAGCATGGTCTCCCCACACTGATGGATTCGGGTTATTCAGTTTCAGTACATGTTTATATTTGAAACACAAGTTGGCTCTCACCTGAGTTATGTGATGTACCCACAGTAAAAAAAATTGGGGTGAGGTGGGGTGGGGGCGCGGGCAGTGGTTTTCCTGGATTTCCTGTTCACATCAGCTACATCCGGTAACTGGGAAGAAATGGGAAGCTCACCTGGCCCATCATATTTCTGCTTACAGGTGCCAAAATCCTGTGCGGGTTCACCACATTAATACATTGCATTGTATCAGTTCCCCAAGGCAGGTAGTCCTTGTGATGTCATGCTCCTGGTATCAAAGCTAACCATCCTGAATCTTGTTCTGTGTTCTAGCTGAAACTGAGCCGCACGAGGGGAAGCGAAAGGTGGAGTCCCTCTGGCCCATTTTCAGGCTGCATCATCAGCGGAGTCGATACATCTATGACCTATTCTACAAAAGGAAAGCCATCAGTAGAGGTGGGCACAGCCAGCTGAAGTGTTTCCATTACACAGGTTGTGTTTAGGGCAGCTATGGACCACTGCTAGCACTTTCATCTCCTTGGAGGACCACTTTAGTCTTCAAGTATTACAAAAAAACCCTAACAAACAAACAAGAAAACGCCCACAAAATACTTTAAAAAATGTAGTTTTGTTGTTGTTTTTTTAAAATTTCAGATATTGTATAACAAAACAAAACTGCACAAGTAAACACAATTTTTTTCTAACTTCCAAATGAAGCCTTTTATTAAACTACCAAATAAAAAAATTGGCACTCTTTCTGGCCAGACACGTGACAGCACTTCTGCTAATATTTTGTTTGTATTTAACACAATAAAATATAGACATAAGTGTACACAATAGTTTTTGAGTGCTAGTGAAAATGGTTTTCTTTACAAATAATTCTCTCACTGAAACACTCACAGCCAATCCCTCAACATGTTTATACTCTGCTCATTTTGCCTTCGTATTAAATAATTTTTTGCTTTTTAAAGAACTTGTTTTAACATTGCACTCAACAACAAACAAATCCTCCCTAACAAAAAAGGAATTTCAAGGGCCAAATTGCATTATATTTCTTCACGTCAATATACAGGCTGAAAGTGGCCCCTGGGCTGTGAGTTTGAGATCCCTGGTCTAGGTATACGCATTCATAGTGCACTTACTCGGACTATACATGTGGAAAATGCATCTATGAAAAGCCATCAGTGTCTTCATTTGGTCCGGAGACTCGTGGCATTGGTGGCTGGGAAGAAACTCTTATGTCATGGCATCAGCAGCTTGTTTTGAAATGCAGTAAAGGCTAAAGCTGAAAATGTTTTTAAATAACATTAAAACGTTAGGGGGAAAAAAACACTGAAACAATAACCCTCTCTCCCCGAGGTAATTTGTACATTGACGAACTCTGGTAGGAGGTACAGGATTCCCTCATGTAAGCCTAACCACTATACTCATTTGTTCTTCTGTTAGTTAAACCGATTAATGAACATGACAGAGAAGTGTTTTTTGAGGTGAATATTTCAAATGATAATTATTAATTGTTATTCATTTATTCATTCAAGTGTGTATGCCTGCTTAGGGTGTTTGTCTTGATTTGTGTTGATGTCTAATTATTGATGCAACAGTTTCCTGATCCAGGACGAGTTTCTTCTATGGGAGATGGTAAAGGTATCTTATCTTAACATTTCCTGTTCTGGAATGTACAAGATATCAAACCTGTACTGTGTTTCTTCCTTGCAGAGCTATACGAGTACTGTATAAAGGAAGGCTATGCAGACAAGAACCTCATTGCCAAGTGGAAGAAGCAGGGCTATGAGAACCTGTGCTGCCTGCGTTGCATCCAAACACGAGACACCAACTTTGGAACCAACTGCATCTGCAGAGTCCCCAAGAGCAAGCTGGAAGTTGTAAGTCTGGCAGTATTTTAGCATTTCTTGCTAGAATCATCTTTTCAAACAGTTTCCAAGGAAACAACAGATTGAGCTTGTTTCTGTTTAGACAGAATTTGTGTGTTTGTATGAAGAAAACACAAAAAGGAAACAGAAAAGGAGACTAGAAAGCTGAAAACGTGACTGTCAAATTGAAGAAAATATGAGCTTATTTTCTTGATCAAGCAAACACGTTCAATGTACAGTAGCTTGCAAAAGTATTCAGCCCCTTGACCTTTTCCACATTTTGTCACATTACAGCCACAAACATGAATCAATTTTATTGGAATTCTATGTGAAATAGAATAGATCTGGACTTTGACTGGGCCATTCTAACACATGGATATGTTTTGTTTTAAACCATTCCATTGCTGCCCTGGCTTTATGTTTAGGGTCGTTGTCCTGCTGGAAGGTGAACCTCTGCCCCAGTCTCAAGTCTTTTGCAGACTCCAAGAGGTTTTCTTCCAAGATTGCCCTGTATTTGGCTCCATCCATCTTCCCATCAACTCTGACCAGCTTCCCTGTCCCTGCTGAAGAGAAGCACCCCCAGAGCATGATGCTGCCACCACCATGTTTGACAGTGGGGATGGTGTGTTCAGAGTGATGTGCAGTGTTAGTTTTCCGCCACACTTAGCGTTTTGCTTTTTGGCCAAAAGGTTCCATTTTGGTCTCATCTGACCAGAGCCCCTTCTTCCACATGTTTGCTGTGTCCCCCACATGGCTTGTGGCAAACTGCAAACGGGACTTCTTATGGTTTTCTGTTAACAATGGCTTTCTTCTTGCCACTCTTCCATAAAGGCCAACTTTGTGCAATGCACAACTAATAGTTGTCCTATGGACAGATTCCCCCACCTGAGCTGTAGATCTCTGCAGCTCGTCCAGAGTCACCATGGGCCTCTTGGCTGCATTTCTGATCAGCGCTCTCCTTGTTCGGCCTGTGAGTTTAGGTGGACGGCCTTGTCTTGGTAGGTTTACAGTTGTGCCATACTCCTTCCATTTCTGAATGATCGCTTGAACAGTGCTATGTGGGATATTCAAGGCTTGGGAAATCTTTTTGTAGCCTAAGCCTGCTTTAAATTTCTCAATAACTTTATCCCTGACCTGTCTGGTGTCTAAATCCAATCAGGAATCTGTGGCAAGATCTGAAAACTGCTGTTCACAAACGCTGTCCATCTAATCTGACTGAGCTGGAGCTATTTTGCAAAGAAGAATGGGCAAGGATTTCAGTCTCTAGATGTGCAAAGCTGGTAGAGACATACCCTAAAAGACTGGCAGCTGTAATTGCAGCAAAAGGTGGTTCTACAAAATATTGACTCAGGGGGCTGAATAATTACGCACACCCCACTTTGCAGTTATTTATTTGTAAAAAATGTTTGGAATCATGTATGATTTTTGTTCTACTTCTCACGTGTACACCACTTTGTGTTGGTATTTCACATAGAATTCCAATAAAATTGATTCATGCTTGTGGCTGTAATGTGACAAAATGTGGGAAAGTTCAAGGGGGCCGAATACTTTTGCAAGCCACTGTATATAAAATAGCCAGTATGAAAAGATGCTGAAAGGATGATCCTCTCGTTTTTCTTTCATTTGTGACAGAAAGAAGTAGCTTATGATCTGTTTCTATTAAACGTTTTTGCTTAGTTTTACAGAAAATTACACAAAAAACAAGTTATGGGAATATATTGTGCAAGATGTTTGAACCAATATAAAAGCCCAGATAAATATCCTACTTGACTCCATCTTTTTTTGTGAGGTGTAGTCTTTATGTAAATCTTTAAAATAAAAAAAGATATGTCAGGAGACTTGATGATGTTTATGTATTTTAATAAGCAAGAATTTGGAGTTATAAATACCTGTCTGACCTCTGCTGTGTCTTTTTTCCCTGCAGGGAAGGATCATTGAATGCACCCACTGTGGATGTAGAGGATGTTCTGGCTAACCCTTACTTGTATTTTTGGACTTATGATTTTTCTGTCAGAACCTTGAAGCAACATTATCTTTTTGGAGTCGCCTTCATGTAAAATAATCTGTCATTTTCCCATCCATCACCCTGAGTTGCCATTATAGGGGAGAAAAACAGTGGAAAAATGATAATACACCAAGAGGGGCTGTGTTGAGTATATTAATTTTCTGTTGCGTTGTTTTTTTTGTTTTTGTCTTTTTTTAAATATCTCGCTAAAGCTTGCAACTCTAAAAGAACCAAATTAAGACCGGTTGTCAGGTCATTCCAGCAAGACACAGCCACTGTGGCGGTCATTTCTAATGTGCTTGTTTCATTTAAAGCGCAGTGTTTAAATTTAAAGAGTCATCACTGTTATAGTGCAGTTTTAAATAAAGTGTTTCAGATTGTCTTGCTGTCTTGTTTTGCTTTTTTGTTGTTGTTGGA